TCTATTTAATTTTTACGAAAAAGTATGCGATACATATGAATGTGTAGACCCTAAATCAATCAGAACATAAGCATTTTGAGCACAAATTGAGAGTATACCTGACACAACGGTCTCGATATTCTGTACATCTCCCTGTACGAGTACGAACACTCGGTCTTGCCTCATAGGCTCTTTTTCGGTAGCTTTGGGATTAGGTTTTGGTGCAACAATTGATGCTACAGCGCTAGCTGCAGCTTTACTATTGCCCTGAGGAGCAGAAGGGCAATCTTTGACCATGTGGCCCACCTTGCCACACCTGTAACAAGCACCTGAAATTTTATAGCAAACCCCTTTATGTTTCTTACCACATTCAGAACAGGGCGGTGTGGAACCACTTCCCTGACTGGAACTGGTTGTTGACCCTGTATTTTGCTTTTTGTTCGATGAAGTATTTTGGCCTTTCTTGAACTTAAAGCCTCGTCTCTTACCACGCCACTCGGTCACTGGTGTTTCAGTCTGTTTCAGTGCCTCGATGTTCGACTCAGCCATTATTGCTCGGTCAAGGACATCTACATATTTCAGTAGCTTCAGAACATTGATTCTGTCAAGGATTTCAACATTAAGGCCGCCTTCAAACTTTCTAGCCTTCTTGTAATCGGTATCCACCATGTGTGGTGCATGTGTGGTGCATATCTGGCGAGTTCAGTGAATTTCGATTCGTACTCAGCTACAGACATAGTGCCTTGTTTCAGTTGTTCAAATTCAGTCACTTTTCGGTCCCTGACACACTGTGGAAAGTATTTCTCAAAGAAGGCTCCCTTAAACTGAACCCAATTCATAGCAGTATTGGTGTCGCGGACCAGCATCCACGACCTTCTGGCCTCTTCTTGTAAGGTGAAGGTAACCAGTAGCACTTTGTGTGCTTCAAAACACAGAAAGACTTCAAATAATTTCTCGGTCTATAGGACCCATACTTCGGCCTTTAACGGTTCAAGGCCTCCTTGGAATGACGGTGGTTTCATTTTACTGAACTTCTGCATTAGAGCAATTATATCATCATTCACATTCTGCTTAGGTTGAACTGGAGGAGGTGGGGGCTGTTGGTTCTGTTGTAGCCTTAAGGCCTCAGTTAGCAGTTCAATTGTTCTTTCGAGCCTTGCCATTCTGGCCTCAGATGATTCAGGTTCATCAACATTTCTTGCGTTATCTATTTCACTATAGACAATTATGCCAATTATAAACATAGACAGTTGCATACTTAATATATTAACACATTAGCACATATATTCATGTCATGGCCACACACACTTTTCAATGCTCATGCAATGCCCTATTCACTTTTCTAGGACATCCTATAGCTCATTTGGACACGTGTGTGCGGTATAACTCGTGGTTTAGTATCGCTCTGATACCACTTTGTCACGACCCAAACCTGCCCCTATGGGTTTAGCACCGTAACCGGCCAGTAATTCGCGATTACCAAAGGCCTGCTTAACAGTAATAATAGTAATACAGAGTACAGGGGCTGACAGAAGTCAAAACAGTAATAAAAGATGTCCAATGAGTTGTGATAGTCTGTATGCAAAAAGACTTTTCATACATATTCACATTCAGAACCAAAACAATATGTACATACATCATATACAAGCATTCAGGTTAGGGACCAAATCCCTACCATAACAGTACAGTACAAGTCTCATACAGTCTATACAAAACAGAAACAGAAAGAGGGAATCTAGAACACCCCAAAAAGCCCTAGCTTGAAGGACTTGGAACCTCTCAGTGAGGCACAGTGGCTGGCTTGACAAAAAAGGAGTTTAACCCAACGCTCCTAGCTCCGATCCGGTGCCTGGACACCTACATATATATATAAACAGTGAGCTAAAGCCCAGTGAATAACATATACGTAAAGAGGTTAGGAATGAATGCCCTTTCAATATTTAAAACAGTCATTTGAACAATATATCAGTTATTCGATCATAGCAGTCATAAGTGGTATATCCAATAGCAAACAGTACAGTTGGTCTTAACAGACCGAACAGTCAGTTGAAGGCCATCATATCAGTAAACAGTAATGGTCCCAACATGAAAACCGATAGAGATCTCTGTGACAGTAGCATTACAGTACAATAATAGTAAATTGCTATGGATACCATGAATACAGTTCGCAAATAGGACAAGCATTCATTCAGTAAGAAATATCATTTTAGAAAGCAGTAGAGTTAACCATTCAGAAATTATTCATGATTGAATATATCTTTATAACATTGTTACTCACAGAGTTCTGGGCTACAGATAGGCTAGTGAGCGTCCTCAGATGCCAACCCTACACAGTTACAGAATGAACACACACTAAGTTACACGCTTGGGGAACAATAACTTAGTCCCTATCTTGACTCGGTGTGGTTCCATAACATTATCCTCATTAAGATGCCTTAAACTAGGCCTAGGAATGCCTAGGATGGAATGAAGATGCAAAGATGCACTTTAAAACACTTTTCAAAATTTTCAAAAAACAGGGGTTTCGCTCGAGCGTGACTTTCTAAGCTCGAGCGGACATGTAGACAAAGGAGCTCTGCTCGAGCGTGACTTTCCTCGCTCGAGCGGACTGCAAAAGTACTGGATGCACGAAATTCAAACTCGACGGCGCTCGACCCCCGCTCGAGCGTGAGACACAAGCCCTCGCTCGAGCGTGCATTTCCTCGCTCGAGCGTGCATTTCCTCGCTCGAGCGGACTGTAAACACATGCAAAGTACTGGATACACGCATTTCACGCTCGAGCGTTACTTTACTCGCTCGACCGAACTGCATGAACTCAGAGTGTACGCTCGAGCGTGAAGTTCTTCGCTCGAGCGTGGATCCAAATATGGAATTTCCAGATTTGTCTCTAAGCATGAAACTCAACATTCAACACATCAAAACTCAACCTCTTGGGCCTATTTTCTGGAAAAACACTTTAAACCCATAATATAGCATGTTTTGAAGATCAATTTGTAAAATCAAAGCCCAAGTGTGAGTCAATTGAACATCATTTTCAAATAAACATCAAGAACATGATGAACATGCAACATGCATGGATTCAATTAAAATCAAAGCTTCAAATACTTGATCAAATGAGTCAATTCACTCCAAAACATGACGAATTCATGAATTGTAACCCAAATATGGACATGCATGTGAGGATTCTATGAAAACAACCTCAAAATACAAGAATGTAAACATGCATGCATGATCTAGCTCTCAATTCAACATTTTAAACCAATTGTTGACATTAGTCTCCAAATTTCCATGAATCATGCAAGACACAACTTAAACTCACATTTAAAAGGGTGAGTCTCCTACCTCAAGTCTCCAATTCAAGGTATAGAAGCTCAAATTACAATCTACTCTTCAATTCTTCAAGTTCTCCAAGCAAAGCTTGTTGAAAACAATTCTCTCCTAAGTCTCTCTCTCTCTAGTCGGTTTTGAACTCAAGAAAAGGCTGAAGAAATGTGATTCCAAGCCTAGGTGAATCAAGACTAATAGATGGCCTAGCATTAACCACTAATGGCAATTTGGTAAATAACTCAAATTGATGTAATGCAACTTTTTAATTTAATTTAATCATACCAAATCAAATTTCAATTAAACATGCCATAAAATCACATAAATTCTAATTAGCTTAAAACACTAATCAATTTCAGATTCGGCCGCCGATAAGGCCTTCAATTTGCAGTTTAAAACATAAAACATGAACAGATCATTTAGCAGTCAAACAGATAGATTTGCATTTAAACTAATACACTCAATCAATCGGTTTAGAATTTCGATCAATTAGTCACTTAACATGCTTAATCGTAGATTAGCACTAATCAGTGGTGAGGGTTGTCACATATTTTAGTTGAATTGTCTTCTCGAACAAGACCTATGTGATAGTTGAATGGTAAACTCTAATTAAGACATTAAAAAAAAAAATTCTAATTAACCACTTGATTAATAACTAATAACTAATTATTAAGAGCATCTTCAATCATTTATTAAATCTTTCACTAAATTATTTGTTTGACATTTTCTAAATAAGTGTATTTATTTGGATTATATCACATTTTTATTTTTCTATATAACCTTTCTAAAAAAATTCAAAAAGTTACTTATTTTTAGATCATCTATAACAAATTTGATAAAAATAAGGTTTAATTTAAAGAAAATTGTTGAAAATTCTAAGCTTAGGAGGGTATAAGACATTAGATTCAGTGTATATTTTTTTGTTGATAAGAGATCAACCATTTATGAATTAGTTTGATAAGAAGTCTTTTTATTTGTTTTGAAAGACATTTTGTTATTTTATCCATTAATTTATCAGTTGACTTTTTTTTGACTATATGTTCAAATTTATATTTATCTGTTCAAATTTTTTAATGATCTATTCAAATTTTTGTCTATCTATTCAAATTTTCTATCTATCTGTTCAAATTTTTTAAACTTATTTGTTGAATTTTTTTTTGATCTATTGAATTTTTATAATCTATTTTTTTATCTGATCAAATTGACACCATTTTCAAACTTTCTATCCCTATCGGTTTATCTCTATTTCTCTCTCTATTTGTACAAAATTTTCACCATTAATTCATACTATAATTTTATTCGTATAAATTTTATCTGTACAAAAATTTTACCTTTAATTCATACAAGAGATGAAAAACACTAGAAATGTTCAATGAGATTTTTTATTTGCATTTTAGTACCTAAACTTTTGAACCAAAAAAAAAATTCAAAATTAGATTTATCGCCTGAGTGCCTTTTAATTTATTCATCAAACTCATATCAAATCAAATTTTATAAAAAAAAAAAACATTATCAAATATTTCATTAAAATTTTAATACATTTTTTTAAAACTTAGAAAAATTGTTAAAAAATAAAAAATCAAGACTCAATTTTTTTCCACATTTGTTAAAGAAAGTTTTTGAGGTAGGTTAAGTATTTGCGAAGGAAAAAAAAAATCAAGTTTTGATCTAAATTTGTTGAATAATTTAATTAAAAAAAAGAAAAAGAAAAAAGGGAAAGGGTTGGAAATCACACAGCGATACGTGCTAGTTCTTTCTCTGAAACCCTAGAATTACACCCCAAAACAAGTGTGCGATTTTCTCGCTCACCGGACTTTGTTTTCTCTGTGAAAATCTGACCATCGATCGCCCAAATCTCAGCCGGAGCACAGTTAAAGGTTTCATCTTCTCAATTAGCTTTGCAGATCAGAAAGGCATTGGAGGATCACTTGTTCATTCAGATCTGGAGTGTAATTCATAAGCTGCAAGTAGTACCCAGATTTGTACAGAAACCAGTGGTGGTGTTTTTTTAACAATTTGGTAGACATTTTGGGGATATAAAGATGGATAACAGCATCCATGGGAGTCTCCACAATGTACATTACTTGCAAGAACATGATGATGATCATCATCATGATGTGTTGCAGCACATGAGAAATGGGAATGGGTTGGATAATAATGAGCATGATGATAATGATGGTAATGGTGGGGAGAGTGAAGGTATGGAGGGGGACATTCAAGTTCATCCTGATACCAGGAATCTGTCTGATAATCAGAATGGGTTGGTGGCTCGTGGCGGCAATGAGAACAACAATAACCAGCTCACTCTCTCTTTCCAGGGTCAGGTTTATGTGTTCGACTCTGTCTCGCCCGAAAAGGTGATTTCATCTATTTATGCTCCAATTTAATACAAGATATTGTTATTTTCTTTTTATTATCTTGTGATTGCACATTTGTGTTAATGCAAGTGTTTTTAAAAGCACGCCTAATCAAGGGCTTAGGCAAGAAGTGAGGCCAAGCGAAGCCTTATCACCTCAAAAGGCCTGACAAGAGTCTAAGAGGGTTAAAAATATAAATAGGGAAATTGGATGCTATGTAACTATCAGTGTCTAAGGAATGTAGAGCGTGAAAATTATTGGTATATATTATGTTCTTACATTTTTTAATTTTCCTCCTTTGCCCCCCTCTTCTTGGTGCCTCATTCAGAGAATGGCTTCAATTTGTTTTTGATGATGCGGCAGGTTCAAGCTGTACTTCTCTTATTGGGAGGCCGTGAAATTCCTCCTACAAGCATGCCTACTGTCCCAATAAGCACTCATCAAAATACTAGGGTATGTGTGACCCTTGATTTGAGTAAGCTTTGTATTTCATCACGTGTTTCATATTTTTTAGCCCCCTAATTTATGAAGCATTTAATCAGGGATTGTCCAGTACTCCAGAGCATTGTAGTGTCCCTCATAGGTTGGCCTCATTGATTAGATTCCGTGCAAAGCGAAAAGAACGAAACTTCGACAAGAAAATCCGTTATACTGTCCGTAAGGAGGTTGCAATTAGGTATGGTATGGTGATTTTTCCTCTATGTAGTTCACATAAAACTCCAGGTATTATTCATCTGAAATAACACTAGTATTATTGATTTCTCTACACACTCAATAAAAGCATATAATAGTCTAGGAAATTTTGACTTATGGCTTAAAAATATATAGACAAGAATAAAAATGTAGTGTCAGAGTGTTACTTGAAACATTTTGGAAATGTTTTGAAAATATGAAGGTAAATGACAAAAAGATTTGTTTCCTTCACTTGCCTCATACATCTTGGCCCGAAGCCTTAGGAATCTTTGCTTTTGGATCTAGGTCACCATCACCACAATCCAGCCACCTGAAAGCCACACATTGTTGGTTCTCGTGTAGGACCTGCCCCACATTTCAGTTTGGTGCTAACTCTAATACCATTTGTATGATTGTATCACTTCGACACCGCATTGTATAATATTGCCTGCTTTGAGCTAGGCCAACACAATTAAATGTGTTGAATAATTAAGGTTCAAAACTCACACTTATAAGACACTTCACACACACTTTGCTAAGCGATAAGGGACAAATTACATGGACTTGGTATCTTTAACTCGCCTCATCAAATTTGGCCCTGATTGGTCCTTCGGTCTAAGTCACCACATATAATTTCTTTAGATAAAGGCCATGAGTTTATTATACAACAAATTAAGCCATGTGTCCCACTCAATGGGGTCGACTATATAAATTCTTTTTCGTCATTTTTCTCTATCATGATCTATATGCTTAGATAAATTAAATAATTTCATTTTTTTTAACCACCTCACCACATGTTAATTTAGGTCTTTCCTATCTCCCCCTTTCTCCTAACATTTCCTTTTATAGTGCTCATATTACTCATCCTTGCCGTTGCATCTATAGGTCTTCGTTGTGCATAACCAAACCATCTTAATATGTTCTCTCTCAACTAATCTTTAATTAGTGCTACTCCTACTATTTTAGGAATATATTCATTTCTAGGTCCATCTTTGTTAGGCCACAAGTTTATAATGTGAAACTAATATGAATCAGGAGTCACTAAGTTGATGCCAAACAAATAAATCTTATCAAACAAAGTATTATATTTTCTATACGCATTAGTTCAATTACAAAATTATCCAGAATAATATTAATTTTGATATTAATAGCAAACAAAGGATAAAGTGTAATGTTTATTTTATTATTATTATTATTATTTTGACTAGATTATGAATAAGGTTCAATAAAGATTAATGAATGGTAAAAGCTCATAAATAAAAGGTTTAAAGGGTTAGCTAGGGAAGGGGGGTTTGCCATAATAACCAATTTGTATAGTGAATGCACTTTGAGAGTCCATTGTCAAGCCAAGATTTTGCTGTTTATGGACAACTTTGAGTTTTGAATCTTTGTAACCACTTGATAGTGCTTTTGATTTAATTCGTCATCACTTCTGTTGGTACTCATGCAGGATGCAACGGAATAAAGGTCAATTTACATCTTCAAAACCCAATCACGATGATTGTGCATCAGCAGTAACAAGCTGGGACTCAAACCAGAGCTGGGGCTTGGATGGTAGTGGGTCCCAGCAGCAAGAGATTGTGTAAGTTTACATCTTTGTTCATATATTACAACACTTGGCAACTTAATGTTATCTCAAGTTTCCTTCCTCTTGTTTTCATTTGTAGGAATTGATTGCCCCCTATTCCTCTTTTTTTTTTTTTTCTTTCTCCTCCCTCTACCTAAAAGAAGAAGGAAAAAAATTGAACCAGGATAGCTCTTTACTTGCATCTTAGATTTTTCTTTTATTCTTTTAATTTTGCATAATTTAATTGTCTGTGGAATTTGTGTTCTTATATAACAACCTCTTCTGATTTGGCTTATCTGATACCCAATTATGGGGTGTACATGTATAAGTTGGGTTTCCTATTATTTATCCCAAGAAAAAGAAGCTTGGGTTTCCTATTGTATTTCAATTGAAGTTTTGACATCTATTGGGCAGTTTTCATTACTTGGATCCACTTTGTACCTTTTTTTTTTTTTGACATGGTACATATCGGCCGGCAGAGAACGGAGTTCATAACTATTGATGTGATTGAAGTTGCATCATGTATTCACTGCTTCATGCCTGAAGGTTCACTAATCACCCTTGTGCAAATAAAAGGTCATGGAGTGTTTGTAACTTACATATCTTCTTATCATCATAAACTTGCCCATGCCCTAATCCTCATCCAGACAAGTTAAAGGACTCCCACAGGTCCACACTGAATCACTTATTGTTGCTCTTGATACTGTGCAGCATTTAAAGAAAAAAGGGTCTACTTTATCTATTGATGTAATCTATGCCTTCTCCATAAACTGAATCCTTCTGTTCGCCAAAAATTGGGAGTTTGTGAGAATTTTATCCAAGATTTCCTTGTATAGAGGCTACAGATGTTGAGCCACACCATTGGTTAAGTCTTACTTGGAGTTGTCTTGGAAAGAAAAGTTGGATGCTCATTGTAGCCACCTCCTTACGAATCACTTTCCTCTGATTTTGTTACTGATGTGCTAGTACTGCAATGCTTAAAATTGTCTCTTTATTTAATTCTGGGTTATCCAGAAATTTAAGTATGTTTAATTTTCTTGAAATTTTCTGGCAGCTGTAGGCATTGTGGCATCAGTGAGAGGTCAACTCCGATGATGCGCCGTGGACCGGAAGGACCAAGGACCCTTTGCAATGCATGTGGACTTATGTGGGCAAATAAGGTGAATATGGATACTTGTTGGTACCTCCTCTGTTGGTTCTCTCTTCTATAGTTGTTTGCTCTTGTTATTTTAGCAATAACATCTAATATGACCACATGGACAGTTTTCTTTAAGACCATCTTGAGCAGATCGCGTCATTTCAATTGTATCAGTGCTATATTTTACCCCGTCAGTGTAAAAAATGCTATATTTTGACATACCTTCTCCAGTAGTGCACTGCTATATTTTAGCAATGATCACCATATGGTTCAATTTTCACCATACGATGAGATCATATGTACCTAATTATATGTATTTCCAATGTCTTTAAATTATTCATTTAATTTAAAATTTGTATCCTTTAGGGAACCCTGAGAGACCTCTCAAAGGCAGCACCCCAATTGGGACAAAATCCTTCGTTGAGCCAGAATGAGGTTTGAAGCCTATCACTATGCACTGGGTTGGGTACATTCATGATAAATTAATTGGCAATAGAAAATTTTGAAAATTATTTTCTATTTACTCGAATGGTCTTTGTATCTTTTCTCATTTCTGTTTCTTTGATCTATGTTCTGCAGAATGGAAATTTTGACGCAGATCAAATGGTTTGTAGAATTGCTGGAAATGGCAGTGATTCATCGTGAAAACCTTTTTAGAAATAGTTGGCTTCATAGAGGGATTTAAAAGGCTGAATGTTCGGGTTTGATGATCTCATCCCACTTTTCAATAAGTTATTTAGGCTTTTATTCTCCAAAATGCCCAAGAAATTCATGCTGATGTGAAATTCCCAAAACTGAAATATTTCAGGTTTTGTTCTTGCCCTTGGAGAAATAGCGAGCGCTGCCCTTCTCTTTTTGCTTAGTTTTAAATTGATTGACTTTATTTAAACTAGCTTGGTTGCAGTTATTTTATATCATAATTAAAAAGGAGGAGGAGGAGAACAGTTGCTAGATAAGGGTTGTTGTCTGAGCTACTGCTGGTGGGTTTTGTTGTGCAATAGTCATTCCTTGCAGATTATCTCTCTCTCTCTCTCTCTCTCCCCTGTGATTTTGCTGTGTTCTTTTCTTTGTTTGTTTGTTTGGGAAATGAATCAAATGATAATGAATTGTATTATTCAGTGGAAAAGAAAATGTTAAGGTTTAAAAAATAAAAAATAAAAAAAAAACTTATATTTTGTTCTACTTAAATAGACCACTGCAAAGTTTAAAAATAATACCTGAAATAAATTAGGTAAAGGGAAAGTGGTATCTAAAGATAAAAATATTTCTTTTTTTCTCATCTTAATGTACTCTCATCTCTATTTTTTTAATGAAAAATTATCATGTAACCGCAGAATGTTATGTGATATTTCAAGCTTGCAACTTTTTATTATTATTTATTTTATATATTTTATTGTAGTAAGGATTGTAATTTAGATTTAGGGGGAAAATAATTAAGGGAATTAATTTACAGTCAAGTGGGTCTTTCACAAGAAAAATTCAAATATATGAAAAAATTTATAATGTTAAATATTAATATTTATGAATTTTTTCAGTAATTTGTAATTAATTTTAAAAAAATACATTGACTTGTATTTTTACTAAAAAATTATTCAGCTTATTTGGTTTCATTACTTAGGATTTACTTTTAGGAAATTGCAATTTTTTGTTTTAGGTATTTTTTTATTTTAAAAATATTCACTAAAAATTAAAAAAAATATATGAAAATAAAAAATTTAATTTTTAAAAAATTGAATTCAAAAAATTAAAATTAAACACAGTAATTGTTTATTGAAACATTGCCCCCTCCATTTATTGCATGTCAGTGTAAATTTATGAAAGTAATTACATATTAGTGAAAAATTTTATTATAATTTTTTTAATGTTTTTGTAAATATTTTTTTCCTGTATGCACTGGATTGTAGTTAAATCAGTAATTGATCACTCTCTCATCTACACCATTACAAAATTATTATTGCATAGAAATCTAATCCACATTGTTGAAATATACCGTACAATTCGTCAATGCACTGGCTTAAAATTTTGGTGGATGAGAAGAGTGAGAATTGAATTTTAAACTTTGGAGCTATTAAAAGAGATTTATATCACTAGACCTATTTTGAAGGGTGGATTTTTTTTAAATTATATTATTTTTTTATTTTTTTGTACATTTAAAAAAAATAAAAAAATAAATTTTTAACTTATTTCTCAAAATAGGCCTAAATATATAATATATATTTCTATTCGGTTTTGTCAGTTTAGTATAGAGAAATAATTCACGAGATTTTAATGGGTTTTATAAAAATTTGTAAAATTTTACATTGAAAATAAATAAAAAAAAAAGAGTAAAATTGTTCTAAATGTCTTCCTTTACAAAACATATATTATTAATCACTTATCTTCTAATGTATAAAGAATTAAAAAAAAATTAAATTTAAATATAATATAATATAATATTTTATTAATTTATTTAATATATTATTATTTTTTTATACTTTAAAAGTCAATTTAACCAGGCCGAATGGTTGAATTGTCGAGTCCAGATTCTCTTCTTGGTGTTTTCTACTTGGTGGGCTATTGTGTTTATTTTTGGGCTTAATTTTGATAATTCGAACCGTTCACATTTTAGGATTTGTTGAGTATATCATGCCTGTAAAAAATTAAATTGATCGGACCTTAAAAGCTACGTGTTCAAATCAGCGAACTAAAAACTATTTTATTAAAAAATAAAACAGTTTATTAAAAAAATTTAATAAATGATTTTTCAATGAGCTGAACACATAGTTTTCGATATCCAATCTATTTGATTTTTTACAGATATAATATATTCGATAAATCCTAAAATATGAACGGTTCAAATTATTAAAATTGAGTTAAAAAATAAGCCCAATGGACCACCAAATAAAGAGCCAAATAGATAGATCTGAGAGGATCTGGACTCTGAATTTTCAACAAATTGGAAAACATTTGCAAAGCCCCTGGACTATTGGATGACAAATGGTAAAATTAGTTGAATTTTGGACAAATTACATATACCTCTTGTGAAGTTTGACTAAATTATAAATACCTTCTTAATGTTTCGAAAATTACATCCCGCCTTCTAAGATTTATATTTTCATAACAATTTGTTTCACAAGATTTAAATTTCATAACAAATTAATCATTAATTTATTATGTAAACATAACATTCATAAAAAAATTTATAATTTTTCAAATTTCAAAAGAGTATTTATAATTTGACCAAACCTCAACTCGAGGGGTATATGTAATTTGCCCTTTCAATTTTCAACATTCTTTATATAATTTATACGCGTGCGAACAAGTCTCCTCTTCTCTAATCTCCTCTCTCCTCATTTGATATTGTTACGTTTGGTAGGTCCGTCCTCTGCTACAACTTGTTCTTCCTCTTCGGTCTTCTTCCTCTTCGGTCTCTCTCACACGAACAAACTTCACAACCTAAAACCAGAGAGAGAGAGATCGCAAACATCTTTCTTCTTCTCCGATCCCTCGGATTCGTGGCAATTCGATTTCCTTTTCCAAGCTAACATTTTTCCTTTTTCAACTTTAAAATCAACAACAATTGCTTAGGTTTTTTTTTCCCCCCTTCTTATTATATATATAATGGCGAGGAGCAGATCAACATCGAACAGATGGAGGTATATAAATCCTGCATATTACTTGAAGCGACCGAAGCGTCTCGCATTGCTATTCATCGTCTTCGTCTTTGCCTCCTTGCTCTTTTGGGATCGCCACACTCTTGTCACTGACCACCAGGTATTTTCTTTATTATTTGTTCTTTTGAATTGAGTTTATTTCGTTAGATCTGTTATTGTTTCCGGAATTTGTGATTCAATTGTTGTTGTTTTGTGGAATTTTTACACTTTATTTGATGTAGTCATCATTTAGTTAGCATTTTGTTTCTGAAAAAGCGACTTTCTTTTATTTGGTGTTTTAACAAAGCTATAAAAACCATTCCTTTAATGCCCCCATCAAACTGGGCTCGTACAATGTTTCAGTAATAGTTGGTGAGGGTCATGAAACTTGAAAATAAAGCTGCATCAATGACTAGAAAGAGTTATTGATTGGAAAATCATGAAAAACATATATCCAATGCAAGGTGGAGTGGGGGAAAGCAAAGTCGGATGCAGAAGGGAGGAGTGGAGGAAAGTAGAAGAGGGGCTTCAAGTGGGCTGCCCCCCTTTTTTGTTTAGCGTCCTTTACTTAGACTTACACTGTGTTTGGGTTGGGGGATTTGGGAAGGGATTTGGAAAAGGAAATGAAAAAGGTAGGTGGAATATGAATAAAATATACTTACATTTCACTTAAGTTTCACACACTTTTTTTCATTTCCCTTTAGTTATGAATAAGTTGATAGGACTTTTAGTTTGGTTTTGTTATGAGTAAGTTGACTAGATATAAAATGAGGTAATTGAATTATAGATATTGTTTTGGTGGGTGAAATAATAATAATAAAAGTGTTAATTATAAATTACAAGTTTGGAAAGAAGGAACACACTACCTTAAGTTGAATTTTTTTCTCATGATGTATCAAATTACAAGACACCTCACAACACACTTTTTTTGTTTATGATATGAGATGAAGTTCCTTACTGGGAGGGATAGGTTTTGTTTTGAACTTGTAATTTTGATCTCAAGTGTAGTAGGAAAAAGATAATAGTTAACCATATATATCTGCTCTCCATAGTGCTGGATGAAATTGCAATATTAATAGTAAGTACCTTTTATTCTAATGTTCTTGTTTAGGATCATATTTTGTTTTATATTTTGATGGTGAGGGAGAATCATTTGTCTTATCTCTCATGTTTAAGAAACTCTATACTGATTTGCAGGAAGAGCTCTCTAAGTTGAATGAAGAAGTATCTCGGTTGCAAAATATGGTAAAGGATGTAAATTGATTATTCCCTGCCCCATACTTAAGCTTTATGTACTTCCATCTTTTTAATAAATAATTTTGAGAAAAACAAAAAACAAAATTTTTTGTTGAAAAATACAAAATTCTTTGTCCAACTTCGTCACAACTTTTCTCTTAACTTCTACTCAACTGATCAGTTTTCAACTATCTTGATCTAAATTTCGTAAGTATGGATACAATATGTTATATTTTTTATTTTGCAAATGGTTGAATATTTGATTGGTGCTTCCAGCTGGAGGAGTTAAAGAATAACAACGGAATTTTAGGTGAAAAGATGAACTCTGGTGGCAAAAGTAGTGATGTCACCAAGGAAAAAGATGTTCCAGATGACCCTATCAGCATTCAGCGAAGAGAGAAAGTAAAAGATGCCATGATTCATGCATGGAGTTCATATGAAAAATATGCATGGGGTCACGATGAGCTTCAGGTACAGTGTATATTTTATTAAATATATTCTACCCGTAATTTTCTATTTTGTTCATCTATGTTGGACATGTCCAAGCGTGCTCTAGTGTTTTATAAATTTATCTAAGTTAGAAACTCATCAAACACAGTATTATGACAGAGTGGAATGGCAGAAAAGGATTCGTGTAGCCATCTTGTTTGATTGGGACACAAGGCTTGGTTTGGTTTGGTTTCTTTTTCTTTGGTAGATTTCTCAAGCATGTTTAATAGGGGTGAGGGGCTATAGAAGTGTTTTTTGTTGCTTTACACTACCTCTCTCCTGTATATGAATGTGCTTGTTGGATGCGTTTTAATAAATCCTATCATACTTATCAAAAAAATTCATTTACCCAAAAAAGGACTTTTAAGTGGCTGAGTTTTTCTCCGTCATCTAATCAAGTTCAAAGCTTTACCACAGAAGTAGTGAAGAGATAGTGATATGTAGACATATTTCTGTGTAGTTAATTTTGTTCCTGTTTTCCTTCCTCCCATAACACTTCTAAAAATATGGGTCCTGCATGTGACACTAGATTTTTTTTAAGACACGCCTTTATTTTCTTTTCTCTACACCTGGAAGTTTGTGCTTTTGACACTGCACACGTTTATGTGTTTTTTTTCTAAGTTTTTCTTTTAGTTTGATCCAGTTTTCATACCAGAATTGAATTTACATTCTTTATGTATTGAATTTCTAAGTTGGTATCATTCTGCTGTTAATATTTTTATTATTTCTGAGCTTGCATAAGCAATTATACCAACATTTTGAATTTCTTTGTTACCAGCCACAGACAAAGAATGGTGTTGATAGCTTTGGCGGTCTTGGAGCAACTCTAATTGACTCACTTGATACGTTATATATAATGGGTCTCGATGAACAGTTCCAAAGAGCTAGAGAGTGAGTTTCAGACCTTCTTTGTCTGTGATATTGAAGATGCATTGGTCTTTCTTTCTTTCTTTTTTTTTACAGCATCAATTACATCATTCTCAAGTTAAATAGCTGTTAGTTCAACTTCTCTGTTTGTATCTTATTTTACTGCCCAGCCTCTTGTCCGTTAACTACACTTTCTTTTCATTGGCCTTCTTCTCTTCTACTTACATCCTAATTCAGTTGCTTTTTTTCTGCTCTTATCTTCTTCTTCACATTCAGTTGCTGTTCTTAGATTTTATTTTATATATCTAGACTTATACATACATATATTTATTATATACATGACATAAATATGTATTTTTGTACATACAAATAGATATATCATATAACTACATTTCTTGTCCCTTTGAGTGGTTTTTTTATAGCTTGGTTTCCTCTTTGATAGTAATAAACCTATTCATTGCAGGTGGGTGGCAAACTCATTGGATTTCAACAAGAATTATGATGCTAGCGTTTTTGAGACAACCATAAGGTTGCTTTATAAGGTTTAATATGTCATTTTTATTAGTTGTCTCTTTAAATTTATGTTGTTTCTTTTTCTAAAGAAATATTTTGTGCTACTGTTCCGTAATCAACATAATTTGAGTGACATGTGAAGGCTGTACTGATCAATAATGTTTTTTTTTTCATTGTACTCCAGAGTTGTGGGTGGACTTCTTAGTACATATGATCTCTCAGGGGACAAAATTTTCCTTGAAAAAGCTAAAGACATTGCAGATAGGCTGCTTCCTGCATGGGATACCCAGTCTGGCATTCCCTATAATGTTATTAACTTGGCACATGGAAATGCACATAATCCTGGATGGACTGGGGTAAGCTCTAAACTTCATGGATGTGCAAGTCAAATTTTTTCTGATTGGTTGCAGTTAGTTGTCTTTGGAGTTTGATGTTACTTAATTTCCTTTGAAGTCATCCCCAGAAAAGTTATTTCATGTAATTTGTTAATCTACTTTTGAACTTTTGCCTAGGAGAGGATTTGGTCGGTAACTATAATTTATCACGGCATGGTCTGCCATTAATTGAAATATGTGTACAGACTGGGAAATTTTTTTATCTGCAGCTGTTTCCATCAAGTGGATTGTAGCTAATTTCTTACATTTCCTCTGATGGAATTATCACATACAATTGCCATTTAACCTCAAGTATCATGGCGACACTAAAACTCTACATTGATTTATACAACAATCATTCTGTCTATACATAATCTACATCATTTTTTTTTACAGCATTTGATAAACTATCAAACCCGAGGCAATCTTAGTGATTGCTCTTAGATGTTTTGTCTTATGTCAATGGAGGTTTTCTACTTCTCTTTCTTGTTTGGTTATTATAATTTACAATGTTCCCTGTTTTTAGGGTGATTCTATCCTGGCAGATTCTGCCACAGAACAGGTGGAATTTATTGCTCTTTCTCAAAGGACAGGAGACCCAAAGTATCAACAGAAGGTATAACCCTTCTATGCTTCTAGGTGCATACACAATAGAATATCCATTGATTTTTGCCCCCAAAAAAAAAAGTTTCATTTATCACAAAAAATGCAAATGCATGGCATCATATGGAATGTAGTTCCTTATTTAACCTTTTGTTTTATATAGAACTTCAATGTCAAATAGAGTTAATGCTGCATATATAAGATAATTGGCTTCTATTGGTACATTTCTGGGAGATTAATTATTCTGTCAGTGAACTAAAAGTCATATATTGTTGCTTCAGGTGGAGAATGTTATTGCACAGTTGAATAAAACCTTTCCTGCTGATGGCTTGCTTCCCATCTATATTAATCCGCACAGAGGGACTCAATCATACTCGACCATTACTTTTGGGGCCATGGGGGACAGGTACTGACTATTCAGTGTTTTGAGATGATATATGTGAACCTTGCTGAGCTTACTATTTGTGATGGCGGTGTCCCAATATCTAGATCTCATTTAAAAATTTATACCGTTAATCTGCTTCTGTAAGTTTGACTAAGGTCTGGTTAATGCAAAACTTTGGTGGCAGTTTCTATGAATATTTGCTCAAAGTTTGGATTCAAGGAAACAAGACTGCTGCTGTGAAGCATTATAGGTGAGAACCCATTACCACTATTTTTTGTTTGCCACTATTAATCTCGAACTACTTGAGAAGATATTGCGTGTCCAATCAGACATGTTAGTCATCAACAGGTAGCTTTAATCATCAAAATACTTGCTTCTGTTCCTATGGAACCTTTTGATGTAAATATAATTATTTACCGTGTTGAACATGCTAATAACCAATGGAACACTTTCTTCCCTGCCTGTTCTTTGTTTTTCGGTCAGAACAGAATGGAGGTTTATACTTCTATTGGGAAGTTAAAAGTTCCCAAGATTAACCATTGGAAAAGAGGAAGGAAAAATAAAAAAGAGATATTAGCTCCCAAGAGGCATGTCCTCAACTAAATTGAAAAAATAAAATCATTTCGTTTCTCTTGGGGTTGTGTGAAAAATTATGTCCTCTATTTTATTTATGTTGATTTAAGTTTGATGTGTGCTTTTGTTTTTCAAGTTCTGAATTGGAAACTAAGACATAGAGAAAACATTTTCCTTTTCCTGGATTTTCCTAATAAGATTCTTTATTGAAACTTTGGAATCAGAGACATGTGGGAGACGTCTATGAAAGGTCTGTTAAGCTTGGTTCGGAGATCCAAACCATCATCTTTTACATATATATGCGAGAAGATGGGGAGTAATCTTAATGACAAGGTAAAGATTAGAATAAATTCGTAATCAATAGAGCTGCTTTATTAATTAACTCATGATGTTTGCATTCTTTTCCAAATATTGGCAGATGGATGAATTAGCATGCTTTGCTCCAGGGATGATTGCCTTGGGATCATCTGGTTATGGTTCTGATGATTCTCAGACATTTCTCACACTTGCAGAAGAGGTATTCATAAATTCTTGTCACAGATTTTAAATGTATTGTCCTGAATATGACACCTTTGACCTTGAGTTGCAATGCCCCTTGTATATGTTGTTATGGAGTGTTGAATCATAATGTAACTGAGATCCTGTCAAGGAGACATTTTAAGAGAGCATTTTTGTGCTTCTACACAAATTTTATGTAAGTTAGCAATCATGAGATTATCATATGAGCTAATCTAATCTGTTTCAATAGTTAAAACTTGGCCTACCAACCTTGAGGTTGTGAGGTTCAAACCTGAGGGCAGTCATTTTATGCAAATTATGTCAAATGTTAGATCTGTACCCAATTTATCCCAACTTAGACCCCCATACAATATAGGAGGCTAAATTGGGGAAATAATTACATGCATGTGCTTAATTTCTATAATAGAAGGTTATACTTCTCGTACATCACTCTCACTATTCTCCCTTCACTTCTAGAGGTTCTATATATTCTCAGAGGCTCTAGACTCAGTGTTATCACCCGACAAGGCTACTTGTCTGTCACCCAGCTTCCTTCGCAGAGTCTCCAGTGCCTCTAACTTGTTGCCATCTCTCCATCAAACCTCCACTATCTGACACATGGTTTACATGCTTTCTCTGCTGGACAAAGACTTTTTTGTGTAGTTCTTTACTGGCATATGAATGCATAATTTTAATTTCTGGCCATTTCTGTAGGCTGTGTTTGGATCAAGAATTGGCAGAGAGAAAGAAAATAGGAAGGCAAAAGTGAATGAAATAGAAACTGAATTTGTCACATTTTCCTTTCCTTATCTTTTCCCCCAAATCCTAGATCCAAACACAGCGTAAGGTTGAGGGGTAATTTGGAAGTTTTATCATTTGATCAAAGGACAGCAGTCCAGCGCAACATCTGCCCATTTTCAGTTTAGGGAACATATCCTTGCTCCCATTGCTTCGATGGTTTGTTCGTTACATAACGGTTATGCTCTTGGTCTTTGATTGAATTCCTTTGCATCTTTATGCAGCTTGCTTGGACGTGCTATAACTTCTATCAGTCAACACCGACAAAATTGGCCGGAGAGAACTATTTCTTTACCTCAGGGCAGGTTGTGATTATTCTTGTGAGATTTATTGGATCACTTCTGTCATTTTTTGTGTGGTTCTCTCATATACAATTTTTTCAGGATATGAGTGTGGGTACATCATGGAACATATTGAGACCAGAGACAGTAGAATCACTCTTTTATCTCTGGCGATTGACTGGCAACAAGACATATCAAGAGTGGGGCTGGAACATATTTGAAGCATTTGAAAAGAACTCACGCATAGAGTCAGGATATGTTGGACTGAAGGATGTAAGTATTTTCAAATCCATATTTCAGATTGTGTTTGGATTCAAGTTCTTTGTTTATGTGAAATGAGCAAACTCTTTATAAATTATCCTTTCACCACTATTTATATGGTTGTTTTAACTGCTGATTGTTGGTGTTCCCAGGTCAATTCTGGTGTGAAAGACAATATGATGCAAAGCTTCTTTCTTTCTGAAACACTCAAATATTTCTATCTTCTTTATTCACCCTCTACACTTATCCCACTGGATGAGTGGGTTTTCAACACGGAAGCTCACCCTCTAAGAATTGTCACTAGGCATGAACAAGGAGAGAATTTCAGTGGATCAGATGAACAAACTAAACCACTTGTTAGGTCACGAGCAAGGAAAGAAGGTCGATTTGGTGGTGATTAGGATTTTTACTGGTAATTCCCGTGCTGAAATTTTAGGGTTTTTTATTACATGAAGAGCTGAAGGTCTTATATATTATAGTGTACGAAAAGAAGGTCCAATTTTACAATTGAAAATAGATGCGGCATCACAATGCTCAACTGATTCAACTTGCAGTAAACTGGTAGGATCGTTGTATTTTATACTTTCTGTTGCCCACATTTTGGAAGTGATGGATGTAACTTAGAGTATAGGCATTCTGGATATTGTGCATTTTAATTTTTTTTTTGTTTTTGCGGAATTGATCATTTGTATTCCAGTTTTTATTACAATATGATACTGCTCAGGCTTGGGCGGTAATCGAGCAAATATTTTATATTTTACTCTCCTGATTTGGTAGCACTAGATTGCTGATTCTTGGTGGGTAAGTTAAATTTTTCTGTCTTCATTCATGTTTATGAAAGTGAAGTATAATTTTCATGTGGTCACATGTTTTGGTACTTGTCTTTGAAATGAGGAACCTATGCTGTGTTTGATCATGAATCTTAGTAGGAATTTGCAGGGAAAAAATAAAATGGAAGTGAAATGTGAAAGAAAGTTCGCTCATATTTCATTTTTACTTTTTTCATCTCCTAACCCTACACAAATCTCTAACCAAATTCTAGATTCAATTTTTTGATCCCTTGCTTTGAAAACTAGAACATGAGCCTGTTGATTTCTTATTTTGGTACTCTTTGGGATTGGAAATCAAATGAATTGAACTTAATAAAGTGTTGCCTTATTGTTCCATTTGCTTGGCTGCATACATATATGGCTTTCCTATTGGAAATGGAGTGAACTCATACCTATTGTGTTTGGATATTTGTGGAGAGATGTAAAAGGAAAGAAAACAAGACAAATTTCTAATCAAATTCATAATTCAAATACAGCCCAAGTATTTTGGCAATATTCTGGAGTTCATGTGGGAAACTCGTTCAGAGCCTACAATAGAGAATGGATAACAGTTATCAAATTGATATACCACAGGTAACCCCAGTTTTGGCCGAGTTGAAGAATTTTCTTTCTATATTTTAAGTAATCCTTCATGAACTGTAGGGGCATTGAAAGGTAATTTAGTATGACATTTTTTTGAACAATCCAAAAGGAAGGAAGAAAAAATTTCACTATAAATTTGTTTTTTTAACCAAGCATGCACATCTGACGAGGGACCCCCGACAAACACACAAGGCAATGAAAATTTCACTACAATGAAAATGTCCTCCTCTATCGTGTCTCTTATATTGTGTTTGGTTGGAGGATTTAAAATTAGATTTGAAAAAGAAAATAAAAAAGATTAGTGAAATATGAATAAAGTATACCTCAATTTCATCTAATTTCACACACCTCTTCCTTTTCTCTTTCCAAATCCCTCTCAAAATCTCCCAACTAAACACAGCATTAGAGAAATGCTAAGAACACATAACGTATTGTGCACAGAATACACAATTCTCTTACATGAGAGTAACATGTGAGGAAATTCTATTTCCACACCCCTATTTATCTCTGTGTACACCCTTAATGAAATATTATTTTAATGACAATTTTATTCTGAAGTAAAATGATCATAATGGATATCAAAACACACCATTAACATTAAATCAAAGTTTTTTTTGTACACCATTTTAAAATAAAAAAATCTCAGAGCACATCTTTTAAGTAAAAAAAACTAAATTCTAGTTTCTCCATTGTTGTTCACTTATTCAATTGACCATTGTTTGCTATACACTTTATAGTCATCTATTGCTTGCAAAGCAATACTCTCATATTGTTTTACTGTCTAAGTTTATACTTCATTGATTTTATGGTTTTGTCATTAGAATTCACCATAATTCTTGATTTTTGTGATAAAAAAGTTACAAATTCAATGGACCGGTAGGGGTGCAACTCGGGCGGGTTCGGTCGGGTTGGGGGTCTGCCCAAGCCCGACCCGAATTGTATTTGGCACTGCCCAAGCCCGCCCAAGCCCGACCATGAACCCGAACATTGTTGCCCAAGCCCGGCCCAAGCTTTGTATTTTGAACTCGGGTTGCCCGAATTGCCCGAGTCCAGAAACCTGTAGGTAGATCTAAGGGTAGACATAAAAGATGCTAATCTAATGGTAGAAGACTAACCAAAAAAAAATAAAAAATAAAAATTAAGACTAACTCTTTTACTTAATAGAAGACTAACAAAAAAAAAATAAAAATTAAAAATTAAGACTAACTCTTTTACTTAATTTATATATATTATATAATTTATATAATATATTAAATTGAATTCGGGTTCGGGTTGCTCGGGTTGGCCATTGGTTCTGCCCAAGCCCGGCCCGAATTGCAATTCGGGCATCAAAAATCTGCCCAAGCCCGTCCAAATTACAAGATATAGTTGCCCAAGCCTTAAAAAAACTCGGACTGAGCTCGGGTTGCTCGGGTTGAGCCCGCCCGAGTTGCACCCGTATGTCAAACCCTTCACAATCGATACCAATAATACATAACATATATTTCTCTGTCATAGACATATACTAGACTTCATATTGAAGAGTGAGATGATTTAGTTGCTGTAGGGCTTTAAACCGCTTCATAACAGATGCTCAATATTTACTATTTCAGGGATTTTATTTGGTTTCTGGGATTTTCTGCTTCACTCCTTTGAAATCTCTCCGGAACTCTGCTATTGATCTGCAAGTCGTAATGAACATAAGTTGCATTCAAGTGCATACAGTTAGAAAAGATACGGTATGAACTGAGGTTGATGGGATTCTAGGCCTGCAGTACATCTTAAATACTGGGTTCTGCAACATTTTGATTTTTGGGTATTGGATAATTGAAGCCAAGTTCGCTATGTCTCTTGCTCTTCTTGTGAATTGGGTTTGTTTAATGTCAGTTTCTTATGAGGATGAAGGCTTTCGCAGTTTTTAGGCACTGGAAATCGATGTTGATACAAGTCGATGCAAATTAATGACTTTTTTTATGTTGATTAAATTGTTGGTTGAAGGTATCCGGTTGATAATGTAACTGGAAATCAAAGGAGGTAGATTGTTGTATATTCCGAAAATTCATGGAGTAATTTGCTGAGGGATTTCTTGTAAAAGATGTTGCTATGTCTTCAACGTGGGTGGAATAAAAAATGAGTCTATACCATTAATTCTCGGTGGAACAAATGATTTGAAGTGGTGTGGGTATAAAGATGTTAATTTAGGATATAATTAGAACATGTGAGGTGTGGGCTGAGAACAAAAATATAAAACTAAAAATATAAAACTAATTTCGTAAGGGTGTGTATTGAGAAATTTTATACACAAAAATAAAAGAGTGTATGAAAATAGAACCTCCCTATCATGTGTGGGTTCTACCCTCATGTAAGACAGTTGGGCATTATGTGGAAAATAACCTTTCTCACCCTTTTCTATAATGTTTCAATACACTTTAATCCAAATTTCTAAGTGTGTTTACAGTTTTTGAATATTTTTATTTGAGCCAAATTCACAAGTCAATACACCTGCCTGCTAAAAAATAAAATAATTACAAATTAGATGTACTTCACAAAAATAATTGCCTACAAATGAAAAAAATTATAATTTTAATAAATTATTATTTTGAAGAAAAAAAATCCCACCAGTCCACCTAAAAATTACAAAGTCTATGAAATGGGACCACTACACCAAACACATGCAAGACACATTAGTTGGGAGGGTGATTGTTTTATACTGTGTTTCGTTATAAGATTTGGGAAGGTAGTTAAAAAAAGAAAGAGAAAAATAGAGTAAAATTAGGTAAAATATAAGTATATTTTATTCATATTTTATTTATTTTATTTATTTTTCTTTCTAAATTTCTTTTTAAATTTTTCAACCAAACACACTAAAAATTTATGTTTTCTTTAAAATGCATAAATAAAATTATTTTTATTTCTTAGCGTGTTTTTAAGACTATTTGGATGACAGTCAACTTACAAGAGAATAAGAATATCATTATTAGTAATAAAACTTTAGTTTCAATGTTATTTATTTGTTTTAGGAGAGTTCGTGATTTAGTTGCAGTTGAAGAATCTTCAATTCGTTATTTGTTCATTGGATTGGTGGATTAAAAAAAATCAATTCGCATTCGTCTGCTGGATTGATGGATGCGGATTGAGCGAATTAGCAAATTGACAGATGGATGCCAATCGGTTTATCAGTTTAAACTTTTACAAAAATTGAATAAAATATAACAACTTATCAACATTTTTTTTTGATAACAATCTAATTCAACATAATCAAAAGATTATCAAGTAAATTGTCAAATACCAATAATAAATACATATAAGAAAATCATGCATTATTAAAACTATTTCATTACTTTTTTTTATTCAAAAATTATTTAATTTGATTTTTTTTTTAAATGACAAAATTAAGCCGTATATTTTCCACACAAAAATACCAAATATCAACACTTGTCATTTGATAAAAGGATTTTTAAATTGAAAACACAACAGAATATCTAAACTCTTTTTCAATTGAAAATACAAATAGAATATTTAAACAAATTGAAAACATAAAATCTTACAAATTATTAGGGGTGCACACAGTTTGGTAGTTTGGTTGCGGTCAAAGGAATCTCAACTCCGCCATCCTTCCAAAATTAGATGGATTGAAAAAAAATCAATCTGTAATCATCCGCTCATCATCATGCATTCGTCCAAAATGCGGTAAATTAGTTCGATTTGATCGGTTTGAGTGGATCAAAACATCTATTATGTTTGGTTTCGTTATGAATTTTTTATGTAAAAATGATACAATTTTAAATTATAATGGGTCCTGCTATTGTTTTTAACCTTTCTATAAAACATTCCCATGAAAATATAAATATGAGAATCATATTTCAAATTAGTTTGATCATGTCAATCACGTTAAAATAAATAATCAAAAATCACTTTCTTATTCTAGTCTATTCCAAACAATATTTATGGAGATTGATTTATATTCTAATTTATTCTCCTATTTAAGTAAGAGTATGAAACCGAAAAGAAATACGCGAGAGAAATTAATGAAATATAAATTAAATTTTATATTCATTTTTTTTATTATTATAAATTTTTACTTAAATTTATAATCCAGATATAACTTCAAAATTTTGTTACAAGAAAGAAAAATGTAAAAAAATATGAAAAAAAAAATTAATTTATAATTCATTTACATACAACCCACTTTCATTTTAAATTTCTATATAAATTTATAATCCAAATACAATAAATTTGTTTGTCATCCCTTAAATAAATCCATCTTTTAATTTTTTTTATCTTTTTTAGATCACATCAATCAACATATTTTCTTTATTTTTTTACATATTTTTTATAAAAAATTAAAAAATACAGTTATTTAAAACATCTCAAACTATCCTTTCTTTTTTTTTTTCAGGTCGACAAGCTTCGATTAGGCATCTTTAAGGTCTAACCTCCTAACCAACAGTGTTTCTCCTACCTCCTAACCAACAGTAACCAACAATGTTTCACTCAGGAGATTGACTTTCAGGTCGACAAGCTTCGATTAGGCATCTTTAAGGTCCAACCTCCTAACCAACAGTGTTTCTCCTACCTAGTGTTTCACCCAGGAGATTGACCCAAGAGAAAAATTGAACTTATGACCTTAAAACTTAAACTTCAAAACCTTACCACAATACCACAACCCCTTACTTATCCCAAACTATCCTAATATAACATTTAATGTTATTCAAAGTTATCCTAAAAAGTTGTCAGTGAGTAGATGAGATCATGAGACGTGTGGAAACAACAAGCGGAAAATTCGTAGATATTTCCGGGCAATAATATATGGTGTAAAAAATCAAATGATGCCGAAACCAACTCAAGAAGACCCAACAAACACATTTGAAGTCAAATACTAACAATAGGAAACAGAGAGGCGGCAGCCAAAAGCCAACAGAAAATAAAATATTGGAAAATGAAGGAAACTTCCATTTCATTTCCAACCTAAAAAAGATCAAGTTTCCGTGATGAAAATCTACAAGAAATAATGGAAAAGAAAAAATGAAGCTTCATAGAACCTAAAAGAAGTTCACACAAATACAAAAAAAAATGAAGCTTCATAGAACCTAAAAGAAATTCACACTATATATATACATATAATCAGCAAGAAAGCACCCAAGCACAGAGAGAGAGAGAGAGAGAGAGATGGGGAGAATGCAAGTGGTAGATGTGAGAGAAAAGATGATAAGAAGAGAAGGAGCAGAAGGAGGAGGATGTCCTTACTGTGGAGGACCAGTGATGGCAATGGATTTTGATACCCATTTAGTAGTGTTTTGTGTTCCATTCCCTCACAAGACAAAGCGCAAATTCTATTGTTCCATTTGCTCCACTCGCTTATTTCGCTCCTCAGCCGCCCCATGATCTCATCTCATCAACCTCTAATTCTCCCATTACAATCACTTTTCTCTTATCTATTATGTATTCTGCAGTCTCAATATAGTCATTCTTGTATGCTAATCACCATTTGTGTAATAAAAACACCCGAGATTTCATGGACAAGAGAGCATGTTATACATATCACCTAGTTTCTTCCTACATACATAAAATGATATATTATTTATCCTACACATACACGTAAACTTTTATTTTTGAAATAAAATAACGAAACAAATTCAGTAACAAACAAACAAACGAACAAACAAAAAATTCTAAATGCAGGTAGAATGGTTACGCAAGAGCACTTCTCAGATCAAAATGTTGCGGCATGTCAATGCAGCCACTAGTCACCTCTAAACCAAGCAACAAATTGGGCCAAAATGATAAACATACAAATTGAGCAAACAATTTCAATTCACCTTCACAAAACTTTTCAAACCAAGTAACCCATAACAATGGCCCAATATTCGCATCACCACTTATCTTCACTGGACACAGGCACAATATTTAAACATTGATTACAATGGCCCAGCTGCCATTGATGTAGGAGAGAGAGAAACAAATTCAGTAACAAACAAACGAACAAACAAAAAATTCTAAATGCAGGTAGAATGGTTACGCAAGAGCACTTCTCAGATCAAAATGTTGCGGCATGTCAGTGCAGCCACTAGTAACCTCTAAACCAAGCAACAAATTGGGCCAAAATGATAAACATACAAATTAAGCAAACAATTTCAATTCACCTTCACAAAACTTTTCAAACCAAGTAACCCATAACAATGGCCCAATATTCGCATCACCACTTATCTTCACTGGGGATCACAGAGGCAGTATTGTAGTGAGGCAGGCTCATTTACCTCTACTTTAATAGAGTTATTCATCATTGTAACAAGTTCCATACCAAACTGCTCAGTTCATTTACGGCAATTAAGTTCCTATCCTACAAATATCAGACCTAAATCAAAAGTTGCACGATTAAAGCAAACAAGCCTGATATTTCTACCTTCCTCAATCAGGTAGGGCGCCCATAGTCAACAGCAAATTTGCAAAAGACCCTTCAACAAATAAACAAAGTTCTATTCTCCCAATGAAATACAAAACTTCACATACAAAAACTCTAGACACCTGGAAAATTAAGCTGCCACACACTGGAAAAAAAAAAAAAAAAACATAGATGGTTCACTTGTCAAAAACTAGATGCAGCATGAATGACAACGCAAGGGCATTCTAGTATGACAATTCCTAAGTGACAGCCAAAGGGTACACAACTCTTTTTTGGGCACTTGTTCCTGGTCCCTGTGAAAGGTTCTTGGATGGTGGAGAGGGGGGTAGCAAGTACTGATACATACAAAAGCAACAATACCATAAAGAACATAGAACAATGGACAAAAAGCACAAAACAAATTGATATAGCTCCCAAAATTGAAGTAAAATAAAGTTGTCAAACACCATTGTCAAGACTAGTGATTTAAGAAACAAATATTCTCCAACTTCAAATAAGAAAGAAAACTGAATTAAGATTCTTCCTATTGCCACTAAGAAGCAAAAAGAAAAACAGCCAATCTTCAAAAAGCCAAATAACACCAAAACCTAGTTCATTCTCCTGATGAGCTCATTGATGTAGTCTTCACGGTTCCCGGCATCACCTCCTTCAACATAATGGTTCCTCTTCTTCTTTAGGCCACCTAATGGTGCCTTCAGTTTGAATGGCCAGAGGAAGTTATTGGCCTTCTTAAAGTTCGGCCCAACAGTCAAGATCTCGTGGATAAGATCTTCAATGCAGATAATTCCGTATTTTCCCAAACCCTGCCACATCCATGGCATGTTAAATAAGATATATGGTATAGCTACTAGACACTACAACCAAGATAATACAAACATAAAACCTGCTCAATGATTGAATTGTCAGTCAATGCAATCCGCTGGGTATTTAGCTTGCCATAACCCCTCTTGTAAATCAACTCCCTCACACTCTTCAAATTGGGGTATCTGAAAACAAGTATATAGTATATAACAAGTATATAACAGATTCCTGAAATTTAGAATCTCGCAGCACTAAAAGTAGATGAGATACATACCCGTAAGTCACATAAGGCTCAACCCTATGCAGCATGTTCACTGTTGCTTTGTTTACTTTAAGGAAGACACCATTAAAACCAAACCAAACATGTTTTCGTACTTTTTATCTCTAAAACACATCTCTCAAACACAAACCAAACATACCCTAAATAAGTGCACTTTTTGACTTTTTATGAAATATGGGTTGGGTTTGAAGTGATGTGTTAGAGAGGTGATGTGACTTAAATAAGATGATGTGACTTAAATAGGATAGTGACTTTTTGACTTTTTGTCTTTTTTGTCTCATGCCAAACTTGGCCATAATATTATGCCCTTGATTAAAAACACTTATCCTTCGACTGTAAAAGTTATTCAGTATATCAACTGCAGGTTCAGCCCAAAATACCCAAGACACCCAAGGCCCTGTTTCAAAAAAGTTCATGTTTCCTATTTAAAATTGGAAATATCTTTGGAACTGTACTTGTTTACAAAACAATGGCAATAGTTTTCATCAGTGTTTTAAAAGGCTCTAGGCGCACCGAGGCGATAAGGTCTCCTGTAGCCTAAGCGCAAAGAACAAGGCAAGGCGCGCGCCTCACCAAAGCAAGGCGCAAGTAGTAGAAGAAAAGGAAAATTATAAAATAGGCAAACTTTTCAACATGACAAATATATATAGAATTTCAAAAATCATAAAGCAAGCTTTAGAAGCATAACAGAGAAGATAAAACAGAGAGATAACCCAGCAAAGAAGCTGGAGAAGAAAATAAGAGAATAAAAATAAGGAAAGAAAAAACAGAAGCAGACCCATGAAGAGAACCCATCCAAGAAGAGAAGAAGAAAAAAAGAAAGGAAGTGAAGAAAAATCAAGGAAGAAAAAACAAAGGCATAGTGATAACCCAACCAAGAGAACCCATCGCAGAAGAGAAAGAGAACCACCGACGAAGAAGCCGAAATCGTGTCGTCTATTGCTTTTTTTAATCTTCTCCACCTATGGCTTTTTTTAATCACTTGCTACTCTCTTCTGACTTTGGTCATTTTATATTGAAGAATTTTGATTCTATGTGGGTATGCCCACAAAAAAAAAAAAGCACTTAATCAACAATTGGAGTAGAAAAATAGGTAAAGGCCATGAAACCCACGTCTCGTGCCTCAAAAAAAAACCCTCGCCTTAGCGCCTAAGCTGCACCTTACATATTGCGCCTTGCCTCAACCTGTTTGAAGCGCAAGGCTACGCCTCGTTGCTTGCGCGACTTTTAGAACGCTGGTTTTCATAATTTTTAAAGTAAAGTAAATAAAAAACAAGAAGTATTTTCACTTGTAAAAACCTCACTGTGGGCTGATGCTAACACCATGACAAGCATAACTTAAAGACCTCGTCAAGTTACCTGTCTCAAGCGCAATAGCTGCAATATCTTCCTTGTCTTTGGGTGCATAGCATTGATACTGAAAGTTCCAAATGAAAATACATATGAGATACATAGCACTATCACTAACAATATCATTCGCATATAACTACAAACAACATGTACACATACCCTCGGATACGAACAATGAACAACAGCTTAGCTTCAGGATTGACATAAAAACCTCCTTTCAGTCTCGCCTCCCGCTTCAACTGAACGAGCTGCTTTTGCTGGTTGACAAATGAAAATTTCATTTCAACAATTAGATACCTGTTGTTGTAAAAACAAAATATACACAAATAAAAGAAATAAAAAAGTAATGCAGTTCAGCAAATGGAATACTTGTTCCTCATCTTGGTGTAGCTCAAGTGATCAACTTTTAGCTTAAATAAAATCAAAAAAGGCATTCTTTTTCTTTAGAGCTGCAAGCTCTTCCTGCTTCTTCAAAGCCCATTCCTCATTCCTCTTTTGTTTCTTCAATACTGACTCTGGAACCACAGCTCCGCGCTTGGCTTGCGCTTCAGCCATCCCTCTACAAACAACATAACCAAATATTCAATTAAACAACCACACCCAAAAAACAATTATAATATTTCCATCATCAGAATTTACAACAAACGGGACCCATAATTAACCCATAGATGATTATCATTGGTTTGGTTTTATAACATCGGTTTTCTCAAATTATATTGAAAAAATAAAAATAAAAACTAGTTTAATTAAAATAAATACCAAAAAATATATGATCTCCCAAAAACAAAACACGAGTGCTCTTTATTTTTTTCAGTTCTTTTTTTAATCGGAAAAAATAATTTGGGGAAAACAAAACAAAACAGAGTTATGAGCTTTGCATTGGTGTTAAACCCTAGTTTTTCAGCAAAATACCATTTCTAAACATATCATCAACTTTCCTGATCTGTTTGTTTCCAAGACAGTAGGCCGTCAACCTAGTTCCTATATAGTTGTATTTTACAAATTAAAGAGAGAAAGAAAAAAAAAATCCAAACATCAAGACTAGAATCGAAGTTTCTTTCATTTATTTTCCTACATTTTCTCAACAACCAAACGTGTACTAAATTAAAACACCATTTATACGCAACTCTCTACGTCAAAACTAACCACACTACATATAATCAAACCGAAAGGTAAACCAAACATTGCTTAATCGTAAGATTCAATAAGGTACAATCTCATTATGATTTGCACATATATAAACAAAAACTCTAGATTCAAACGATTATACAATAAAAAAGTTTAGCTCTGAAAATCGAAATGAGAATCCGAAACTACTCACTCACTCTGAGTTGTTATGAGATCGTAGTCGCAGCACCAGCGCGAGGGCTTCTCTCTGTTGTCAGCTGTATCTCTATGAAGGAACTGTGTGAAATTAGGGTTTTGTAGGGTTGGTTTGTTTTAGGGATTTGAGTCATCCAACGGCTTGGATTTATTTTCTGTGGGAAAGTGAATCCTGACCGTCGGCTTGTTTTAGGGCTTTGTAGGCAATGTGTTTCTCCTCCTTCTAGGCCCAAAATGTACTTTTATTCAATCAAAGCCCGGTTCCAAAGTAACGGAATTGTTCGTTTAACCTGGCCCTCTTTAACCAATTTTAAAGGAAAATATTTGGCTCTCCTTTGGCAATTTGATTTTTTAATTTAAATTGTTTAAAATTTAAGTTTAAAAATTGAAAGTAATTAAAGAATCAAAAAGTTACCACAAAAAAAAAAAAAAAAAATTACACACACCAGTCATTCGTGTATTTTTCATACAGTTAAAAAAATATATTTCTAAACACTTTAACTTTTTTCTTTTACTACAAAATCAAAAAAATTACTAAAAGAGTAAAACTCACAGGATGCCTTAGTTTTTATATTTATGATAAATAAATATATATTAACAATTCATTAAAAAAATCTTTTTGATAACATTTTATAATATTTTTGACATTACTCTTATCTTTACAACATTTATGTGGACAATCGTTAATGTGTTAACCTTTTTTTTTTTAGTGTGTTAACCTTTATTTTATTTTTTTACCTCTCTTTTATATCCTTGATATACATCACTAGAAATTAATTTGTCACCATGACCCTTTGATCAATAGAAAAACTTGAAAGTGTTGGTTTTGTAACATGGGTTGGATTTACTTCTCATCTATATTAAATTCTTAGGTCTCATCATAAGTCTCGTTTTAATTATTTAAATTATTTATTTTATATAATTCTTTGTGTATATCATATGTATAAAAACTTAAATTGATTTGATAATCATAATTTATTTATTTTATCACTTATGTTATTATGGCTCCCGTTTGGTAGAGTTGTGGAAAAGTGATTATAGATTATAACTTAACAAATTATGGCTTATAACTGTAAACCTAAACTGTTAGCATGTTTGGTGTAGTTGTGGGATTATAGATTTAAGCGGCAGAGTAGTGGGGGTGTTTGGTAAAGCTTAAATCCAGCTTATTTCAACTTTTAGCTTAAATTAAGTGATTTTTGTGTGTTTGGTGTAGCTCAAGTGATCAACTTTTAGCTTAAATAAAATCAAAAAAGTGATTATTCTCTGAGTTTGAGAGGAGGTGTTTTTTTATTCAGCTTCAGCGAGCAGCTGGGGGTTTAGGGGCAAAATGACTTAAATGTCCCTCGCCATTTCAAGTTATTACCAGTGTGCCATGTCTATAAGCCAAACTCACTAATTTCTCTCCCTCGCCTGAACTAGAGAGGCGATTTTCGGCGAACCCTCGCTCTCTCTCTCTCTCTCTCTGTGTTCGGATTCAAATCTGAAGGAAGACAATCGATTGAGAGTGACAATCACTACCCTAGAGAGGCTCACGGTGGCGAAGGGCGACGACCTGCTGAAGATCTGGCCTCCGTTGTGACAGCCTTCGTCGTGATCAAACCTAGCTTTCGACAACCTTGATCAACGTCAAAGAAGACAAGAAGATGAAGATCTGGCCTAGAAGATGAAGATGAAGATGAAGATCTTGGCCTCCGTCGTCGTCCCCTATCGCGATCGGCCGTGTGAGGCGATCTGAAACCCTAAGCGTCGTCCCCTATTGCGTTTGAGCTAGGGTTTCAGTGTTCAAATTTTTTTATTTCATTTTTTAAAAAGGTTTTTAGGGTTTTTTTAATAAAAAAATAATATTAATAATTAATAATTTGATACTAATTATTAATTTGTAACAAATATATTAATTGATACCTAATTCATTTTGTAATGAAAAAATGAAAAAAATTGACACCTAATTCGTTTGTAATAAAAATATGAAAAAATTATACTAATTGATAATATTAATAATTTTAGTATTAATTGATGGTAATTAAGCCATTAATTGACACCTAATTAATTTATAATGAAAAAATGAAAAAAAAAATTATACTAATTGATAATATTAATAATTTTAGTATTAATTGATGGTAATTAAGCCATTAATTGACACCTAATTAATTTATAATGAAAAAATGAAAAAAAAAATTATACTAATTGATAATATTAATAATTTTAGTATTAATTGATGGTAATTAAGCCATTAATTGACACCTACGCCCAATTAGTACACATTAATGTGTGTTTGGGAGGAAAAAGATTAAGTACACACCTAACCTTTAGCATAATGCACAAAGTGGTGGCCCCAAGACTTGAAACCATAACCTTAAGGTTGTTAGGCCAAGGTAATTAAGACATTAATTGACACCTAATTCATTTATAATGAAAAAATGAAAAAAATTATACTAATTGATAATATTAATAATTTTAGTATTAATTGATGGTAATTAAGCCATTAATTGACACCTAATTCATTTATAATGAAAAAATGAAAAAAAAAATTATACTAATTGATAATATTAATAATTTTAGTATTAATTGATGGTAATTAAGCCATTAATTGACACCTAATTCATTTATAATGAAAAAATGAAAAAAAAAATTATACTAATTGATAATATTAATAATTTTAGTATTAATTGATGGTAATTAAGCCATTAATTGACACCTAATTCATTTATAATGAAAAAATGAAAAAAAAAATTATACTAATTGATAATATTAATAATTTTAGTATTAATTGATGGTAATTAAGCCATTAATTGACACCTAATTCATTTATAATGAAAAAATGAAAAAAAAAATTATACTAATTGATAATATTAATAATTTTAGTATTAATTGATGGTAATTAAGCCATTAATTGACACCTAATTCATTTATAATGAAAAAATGAAAAAAAAAATTATACTAATTGATAATATTAATAATTTTAGTATTAATTGATGGTAATTAAGCCATTAATTGACACCTAATTCATTTATAATGAAAAAATGAAAAAAAAAATTATACTAATTGATAATATTAATAATTTTAGTATTAATTGATGGTAATTAAGCCATTAATTGACACCTAATTCATTTATAATGAAAAAATGAAAAAAAAAATTATACTAATTGATAATATTAATAATTTTAGTATTAATTGATGGTAATTAAGCCATTAATTGACACCTAATTCATTTATAATGAAAAAATGAAAAAAAAAATTATACTAATTGATAATATTAATAATTTTAGTATTAATTGATGGTAATTAAGCCATTAATTGACACCTAATTCATTTATAATGGAAAAATGAAAAAAATTTCAATAAGGTACAATCTCATTATGATTTGCACATATATAAACAAAAACTCTAGATTCAAACGATTATACAATAAAAAAGTTTAGCTCTGAAAATCGAAATGAGAATCCGAAACTACTCACTCACTCTGAGTTGTTATGAGATCGTAGTCGCAGCACCAGCGCGAGGGCTTCTCTCTGTTGTCAGCTGTATCTCTATGAAGGAACTGTGTGAAATTAGGGTTTTGTAGGGTTGGTTTGTTTTAGGGATTTGAGTCATCCAACGGCTTGGATTTATTTTCTGTGGGAAAGTGAATCCTGACCGTCGGCTTGTTTTAGGGCTTTGTAGGCAATGTGTTTCTCCCCCTTCTAGGCCCAAAATGTACTTTTATTCAATCAAAGCCCGGTTCCAAAGTAAAGGAATTGTTCGTTTAACCTGGCCCTCTTTAACCAATTTTAAAGGAAAATATTTGGCTCTCCTTTGGCAATTTGATTTTTTAATTTAAATTGTTTAAAATTTAAGTTTAAAAATTGAAAGTAATTCTATTGCTTTTTTTAATCTTCTCCACCTATGGCTTTTTTTAATCACTTGCTACTCTCTTCTGACTTTGGTCATTTTATATTGAAGAATTTTGATTCTATGTGGGTATGCCCACAAAAAAAAAAAAAACACTTAATCAACAATTGGAGTGAAAAAAAGGTAAAGCCCATGCCTTGCGCCTCAAAAAAAAGCCCTCGCCTCAACGCCTAAGCTGCCCCTTGTGTGTTGCGCCTCGCCTCAATCTGTTCGAAGTGCGAGGCTGCACCTCGCGCTTAGGCGCGTGCCTTTTAAAACACTACAATCAACATCATAATGCCATACCCACTAAACAATACAAAAACAATTTATCGATGCTCCCCACTCTTCCTAGACATAACACATTGCTATGGATGTAAAAAGCAACTAGGCCTTCTTTTCTTCATTGATATCAAGTTTCTTACACCCTTATATGATATAAAAATGATTATTTTGTCATTTTTTCAATTTTAATTTTTAAAAAATTATTTCATTAATAAAAGTTAATATAATTTGCATCAATTAATACTAAAATTAATAATAGTATCAATTAGTTTAATTTTTTTCATTTTTTCATTATGAATGAATTAGGTGTCAATTAATGGCTTAATTACCAAAATTAATAATAGTATCAATTAGTTTAATTTTTTTCATTTTTTCATTATGAATGAATTAGGTGTCAATTAATGGCTTAATTACCATCAATTAGTACTAGAATTAATAATAGTATCAATTAGTATATTTTTTTTCATTATAAATGAATTAGGTGTCAATAAATGGCTTAATTACCATCAATTAATACTAAAATTATTAATATTATCAATTAGTATAATTTTTTTCATTTTTTCATTACAAATGAATTAGGTATCGATTAATATTTTTGTTACAAATTATTAATTAGTATCAAATTATTAATTATTATTATTTTTTATTTAAAAAACACTGAAAACCTTTAAAAAATAAAAAAATAAAAAAATTTGAACACTAAAACCCTACCTCCGACGCGATGGGGAACGACGCCTAGGGTTTCAGATCGCCTCACACAACCGATCGCAATGGGGGACGACGACGGAGGCCAAGATCTTCATCTTCATCTTCTAGGCCAGATCTTCATCTTCTTGTCTTTTCCGACGTTGATCGAGGCTGTCGAAAGCTAGGTTTGATCGTGACGAAGGTTGTCACGACGGAGGCCAGATCTTCAGCAGACCGTCGTCCTTCGCCACTGCGAGCCTCTCTAGGGCAGTGATTGTCACTCTCAATCGATTTTCTTCCTTCAGATTTGAATCCAGACAGAGAGAGAGAGAGAGAGAGCTAGGGTTCGTCGAAAATCACCTCTCTCACCGGAAATCGCCTCTTTGGTTCAGGCGAGGGAGAGAAATGAGTGAGTTTGGTTTATATACGTGGCACACTGGTAATAACTTGAAATGGTGAGAGGCATTTAAGTCATTTTGCCCCTCAAACCCCCAACTACGCGCTTAAGCTAAATCAAAAAGCACCTCCTCCCCAACTCAAAGAATAATCACTTTTTTTACTTAATTTAAGCTAAAAGTTGATCACTTGAGCTACACCAAACACACAAAAAACTCTTAATTTAAGGTAAAAGCTGAAATAAGCTGGATTTAAGCTCTACCAAACACCCTCTATAAATGAGTCGTGTATTTTTAAAAACATTTTTTTCAAGCCTACCTTCTCAAAGATTTTGAAAAAACATAACAAGTTCCACAGTTTATATATAATTACAGTTTTAGTAAATTTAAAAAGTCTAAAACTAATGTAGACAGTGTGAATATATAAAGATAAAAAAGATCAAGTAGCATTTCAATGTAAAATATACGATAACATTATTTTTTTTATTTATATAATTAACGATTTATTTATGAAAAGATAATTAAATATTATGTGAATTAAAAGATTAAGAAATCTTAATATAATTATATTAAATTTGTGAGATTTACTATACTATTTTCAAATTTCAAGATATGTCAATATAATTTATCTAAAATATTAAAGCTACCAAAGAGGTTATCATGACTATAAGGGTGGCACACACTTCGTGTGTTATATTACATTATATATAGTATTTTTAATTTATTTTTGTTACCTATCAAAATATATAACATGACAACGCCATTATACTTGCTAATATATAAAATGAGAGCAACTAGGCCTAGTAAGTGGAGGAGGCCTCATCAGAGATCATGAAGACAAATGGATTAGAGATTGCTGCCAAAACGTGAGTACCATGTCATGCATCGAAGTCGAGCTATGGGCCTTGCGTGATCAGTTGAGAATAGCATCCGAAGCCAATAGTAGGAATCTCATTGTGGAAGTGGATGCTAAACTAGTGGACGTACTTCAAGACAAAAATAAAACAAATGTAAAACTTGTGAATGTTATTCTTGAAGGTATGAGAGGTGATCACATTATAATATGGTGGATTCTTTCACACTAAATCAAATCTTTATATGGTGATACACTTTTCCCCGTAGGAAGAAGCAACTGAAAGTTGGAAGTTTGAAGTTTAAATGAAGAGACACAATGTTTGGATATGTGGTGACTATTGAGTTTGATTTCAATGGTAATAACCACTGATCAACAACCACCGTATATACTATAAATATATGGACAGAACATGGGTTTAACTTACTTGCATTTTTCCCTCTGTTTTCTTCTTCCAGATTATTTTCTTCTGCGTGATTAAACACCCTCACGGGAACTTCGATCCATTGTCATTGTAGAGATCATCTTACAGTGATATCAGAGCAAGGTTACACATTATCGCAGATGTCGAAATATAGTCTGGAAAAATGAAAAGTTTTCGAACTCTTTTTACCAAAAATTCAGAAAATAATTGACCGTCAATCTTCAGCATTGGTGAATTCCATTTGTTTATTTAATCATCACCAACGTGTTGTATTCCCAGAAAATCATCCAAAGGAAATAACTGTTGGTGGTGCTATTGTTCCAAACCTTGCCGAAAATGAGGCCGAATTATACCATTGGAAGAAATTTTATAAAATATTTTTCGGTTTGAATTGCGTCTCCAAATTAGCACCATCTTGTTCTTCTCAGAATTTTGATCACAACGGAGAAATTCGTTGTGAAAAACAAAGAAATTTTGATCCACAAGATCCAACTTACAGTGTGTGGTCTCCTACCCCCACCGGAGAAGATAACCAGAGCAAAATAGCCGTTATATCTTCTAATTTAAAAGATTAAACAACTAGGCTAAAGCCAAAAGGGCCAAAAATTTAAAAACAACAAGTAAATCTGTTCCCTTGGGCCTAAGAATTAAAAAGAAACCAATCGGGCCAATTTTGGCAGGAGCCCAAACCAGCCAGGCACAGCCCAGAAGCCCTAAGTTGCAGGTAGGACTGTGCATAATACCATCAAAACTGCTAAAATCGCATCGAATCGCTCCGAACCGCACCGAACCGAGCAAAATTTCAATCTTGGCTGGCGGGTTGGAGGACCAGAACAGGCGGGTCGGCGAGGGTGGCGGGTGGAACTGCCCAACTCGCAGGTCTAACCGACCCGACCCACATATGTTTTTTTTTTAATAAAAAAAATCCCTTGTTATGTATACAATCCAGCCACAGATTATATCTTCCATACATAACTCACACACACACACAATAATTTCTCAATTAAACCTAATTGACACCCTCCGACACATTTCATTTTCATCTCATTCACACACATAAAGACGACGCCGTTGCTGCTATGTACAACCTTTCATCAATTCAGACACACAGATTCATCGCCGATCGGCTCACTCTCCTCACCACCACTGATCTGTTAGCTTCTCCTCTTCTCACCGCCGCTCGTTGCTGTGCCGATCTAGCCTCTCCTTCCCTTGCCGATCTCATCTCCTCTTCTCACCATCGCTGATCTGTTAGTCTCTCTCTCTCTCTCTCTCTTTCACGTTGCTCTTTTCTTTCGATGCTCTCTCTTTCTCTCTTTTCTTTTGCTACTCTCTGCTTTGTATACATTATATTGTTATACATATATATATATATATATATATAATCCTGCTCTATTATCTATATATAATATTGCTCCTGTTTGGGTGAATTTGTTATACATATTTTATTTATTATTAGATTTTGAATATAACTTAATAGTTGGTTTGTTGTTCAGATTGTTGAATATAACTCAATGTATATATAATATACATCATGTGCCATTATTTTATTTTTTTAATGATTTGTTGAATATAACTCAATGTATATATGTGCCATTATTTTTTTTTAATGATTTGTTGAATATAACTCAATAGTTGAATATAACTCAATGTATAATATACATCATGTGCCATTATTTTTTTTTTTAATGTGTTGTTGTTCTAGATTGTTGTTCAAGATTTAATTTATAAGTAGGTTCAGAATTTAAAATAATATTCATATAACATATATATATATATATATTTGTAATAGAGGTTGTAATAGAGAATGGATTTTTAATGTTTAATGTTACATTAGATGAATATTTTAATTTTGACTATTTCAGTTAATTTATAAATTAAATCTTTTTTTTCTTTGATTCAAGTTTTATAATTTGAATTATATTATTTATAAACCGCCAATCCGCCCAAATCGCCAAGCCAAATCCGCTATTATTTGCCAACCGAACCGTCGATTTTTGATAAG